TGTGGAGAAGAATTGACATAAGTCTGAACCTCATCATGTGTGGAGTAATCAAACCCCCACTTCTTCATCACCTTGACACCAGTCACCCCATGGCACTTTCTCTCTCTCTGACCCTAGCCCTCAGGGCTAGGGGAAATTGCATAGGCTAAAAGGGTACCAAATCCATCTGACTCCAACTACAAGTTTGGGGAAGACACACAACACCCCAAACTTCAAACCTGTTGGCCCCGATTTAGGGGTTTTCACACTATCTGTTCAGGATGCCAGCCTCAAACTCAGGTACCTTCCCGGGCTTCCCTTTCACCTGCTGACTCCCCCAACTCTTTGGGGTTTGGTTATGTGCTCGGGTGGTTGAAAGAACCCACAGAAGGTATGCAGTTATGATTCTTGGTTTATGATAGCAAAAAATAGACAAATCAGGATTCTCTTAAGCAAGAGATGCCTGAGTGAGGTCTCAGAGGGTTCCCCAAGCAACACTTCCATAGGGTACCAAAAATGGTACATCACTCCCCCTTCACCAACCTGGAAGCCCTCGAAGCATCTCTTCGCAGACTTTATTACCCTCCATCATTATGTATTCATAATTGGGGCCTCATTATATATACAGAATTGGCTAGATCTCATCTCCTGGTATGAGCTTTCAGGTAGTCCTCAGGTGTAGTGCTAATAAAGATACCTCAATTACTCAGGAAATTCCAAGAGTTTAGAGTTAACGTCTCAAAAAACAACAGCAAGACTACATAGCTTTAAGTGATTTGCACCACAGCCTCATCCTCGTATAACCACCGCCACATAGACCAGTGGACCCGACGCCGTGGCACCTAACAGCCACTGCACAGAAGGACAAAAGCCCAATCCAACAAGTGGACAAAAGATCTGAACAGGCATTTCACCAAGGAGCATATTGAAATGGCCAACAAACACCTGAAAAAATACGCGATGGCATTAAGCCATTCCTGCCGACAGTGAGTCCACCCCAACTCATGAGACGCTGTAGGAAAGACAAGAGCTGCCTCAAAGGGCTTCCAGGGTTGTCGTACTCACACGCGCAGATGTCTTTCTTCCACGGCGTGTTTGGTGAGTCTGAACCACTGACCACTTGGTTAGCAGCCCAGCCCTTGACCACAGCATCAACAGGGCTCCTCATTGGTCATTCCCAACAAGCATGCAGAAGCCACTACTGTCAATTCCATCAGACTCAGAGTGACCCTCAAAGACAAGGGAATGCTGCCCTCAAAGGGTTTCCTAGGCTGTCAATCTTTATGGAAGGACACTGCCACATCTTCTCCCTGCAGAGCAAATGGTGGGTTTGAACCACTGACCTTTTGGTTAGCAGCCGAGTGCTTTAACCGTCACATTAGTCATTAGGGAGATGCCAATCAAAACCATCATGGCATACCCCCCTCACTCATGTTAGAATAGCAATGATGAAAGCAAAGCAAACACAGGTGTTTGGCAAGGTTGTGGAGGAACGAGAACTGTCAGCCTCTGCTGCCGGGCACGTAAACTGGTTTAACCACTGGGAAAACAGTTGGGCGAGTCCTCACCAGGTGGAACACGGAACTTTCATAGGACACAGTGTTACACAGCACCACAGGCACAGGGGTAGGGAGTGGACGACAGGTGAGGCATTTTATTCAGGAGGCTGCCCCCCTTCCCCCCTCCCCCCCACCCGAGGCTTCATTCCATGCAAGAGGCCTGTGCGCGCGACTCCCTTCCAGGGCCGGTTTATATCTCACCAGTATACAAAAGAGGCATGGTGCCAACACCCCACAAAGCATGGTGACTTGGTTACATAAATGATTCCCTACTGGGCCCAATTCCCGCACCTGCAAACAGTGTTCCTCTTTGGTTTCCCCAGAGAATTCTCCGGGGAAGATTCCGCCCTTGACTACAGCCTGTCCATCTTGAAATAGAATGTCTATCGCTTTTACCTCATAGTCAGCAAAAGGTTAAATTGATCAAGGAGAACCCCTCATCTCTCTGGCTGTCAAGCGCCAAGTTCCAAGGCTAAAGCAGCTGC